GGACAACTCCTCAAGAGGCTGCAGCTTCATGGGGAATCATAGAATCACAGACTGGTTTGGGTGGGAAGGGACCTTAAAGATCATCCAGTTCCACCCCCTGCCATGGGCAGGGACCCCTCCCACTAGCCCAGGTTGCCCAAAGCCTCATCCAGCCTGGCCTTGAACCCCTCCAGGGATGGGGCATCCACAGCTTCTCTGGGCAACCTGGGCCACTGCCTCACCCCCCACACAGGAAAACATTTCTTCCTCACATCTCATCTCAATCTCTTTCAGCTTAAAACCGTTGCGCCTCATGCTGTCACTCTGTTCCCAGATAACGAGTGCCTCCCCAGCTCTCCCACAGGCCACCCCCAGCTCTGTGCTGGCTGCGTAGGGCAGAGCTGGGGGTGAGCCGGGGGCTGTTCCCCACTGGGCACTGGTGAGCCAGAGCAGTCTGGGGTCCCTCAGCTCCGTGTGGACAATGGAGGCTGTTGAGATGAATGAGGCTGAAGGGAGGTTGTCCAAGGAGATGCCAAGAATTAGTCGAGACTGGGGGAAGCAAAGTGGGGTGAGGCAGGAGACGGGGCCAGAGGAGTTGCCCTAGGAAAGGAGAAGGCGATGGGGCAACCTGCTGCACAACCTCTCCTGCCCACGACATCTCCAAGGGAGAATGAGATGGCACCCAAGGAGGCTGGAGGCCTGGCCCAGGTGTGGTGGGAGGGAGCAGTTATATGGAGGAAGGACCTCGCTGCTGCTCCAGCACAGGACTGGGGAGGCTTGGATGGACGAGGAATGAGGCCAGCCCTGTGGGGTGGACCTACAGGCAGGAGATATTGCTGTCCCTTCTCCAATGAAAGACACCATAGTTGACAAAACAGCCCCTGAGGAACAGAAGGGAAACCAAGTCACTTCCCTCTGTTCCCCTCGGTGGAGCCACCAAACCTGCCCCACAGCCGTGGGGAAGGGCACAGCGTGGTCATGGCCTGTGGCTGGACCTAGTGGCCTGCCCCAGCCACCCCCTGGTCTGCACTGCGGCGGGGGGGCACCAAGCGGGGTTTCTGGGCATGACGAGGGGCATGACGTGGTGCAGGGGTCTTCCTGGACCTCATCGAGAAAAGCCTGTCAGCAAACTGAATAATAAATATGGCATAGAATAAAGAGGAATACAGATCCCAAGTAAATCTGACACCCTTCAGATGCCGGGCACACCTCCACGGGTGGGATTTGCACAGCATGCCGTGGGAAAGTCTATCTGGGCCCGTCAATGCTGCAGGGAAGTGGGGTGCCCTGCCTCCAAAGGGGTGTAAGATTTGCTTGCTGCCTGTAGTCCCCTTTTTATTCTGTCTTATTAAAACAGCTGTTTGATTACACTGCTTGTTGGAGCTTTCTCATCAAGATTCAGAAAGTGTCCCGTGCTGTACCTTCTCCCCGCCCAGTTGCAGAACATCACCCTATTTCGCAAGGGCCGAGAGGAAGCCATTTCCCCATCAAGTGACCAGAGCCAAGAAAGAGAAACAAAAAAAGCCCCGATGATAGCTTTGCTCCTGAGGTCCTCAGGATCCTAAGACCAGGTCGTCACAGGGGCCCAGCCCTGGACATTCTGGGACACTTGAACCACCCCAGCCCTGCAATTGTGTCTGCAGAAACACAAGCCGTGGGACCGAAGATAGCTTGTGATAACAAGGGCGTATCAGGACCCAGAGGAAGCCACCCAGCTGCTCAGTGCCTCCGGCCAAAGCCTTCCTCTGAAGAAGTCCTGATTCAGCTGAGGACGCAGGGAGCCAAGAGGGACACGATGCTGCCCGTGACCCGTGTCCTAGCCTTCGGTGAGTGCTGTGTGGGGTCCCAGAGGGCAACGTGAGGTGTCCAGAGACTCCACAGAGATGCTACATGACTGCTTCTCTTGCAGGTGCTTGGCTGGTGGCTCAGAGCAAGGCTACACCAAGTGAGTATCATGAGGAGGGAGATGGGGGGTTTGGACACCTCTCTGCTTCCCCATCCATCTCCAAGGGCGCTTCCCCAGCCCCACAGATCAAAACTCGCCCTTGTGGGGAGATGGGGCCTGGAGCCAGGTCCAGGCTCACCGCAGGGCAGCTGGTGCTGGGGACTCCCCATGTTCCTGGCAGCGTCTCCCTCCCTGTGCAGGTGCCCCCACAATCTCCATCTTCCTGAAGCCGCCTGGGCTGATCGCACCGGGAGGCTCCACCACCATCTGCTGCAGTTGCCAGTGTGACAGTGGGAACTTTGTGCTGTACAAGGATGGCCACCAGCTCCGTGCCCTGGAGCTGCGTGGCAGCAGGGCCGAGTTCTCCATCTCTAATGCCACTCGAGAGGACACGGGCGCCTACAGCTGCCATTACCTGGAGAGAGGCACTGTGCTGGCTCGCAGCGAAACCCTGGATGTCAGGGTGCAAGGTGAGGGGCATGCTGTTACCCCTTCACGTGGGGTCAGGCGCCACATGGGCAGCCTGGGATGCACGTAGCCACTTGGCTTCCCCGTCCACATGATGGGGAAGGTTTTTCCCTTCTTCCCTGGCTTGGACAGGTAGGGACCATCTTCACCTCTGCCTGAGCCAGGTGCTGGAGTCATGGAGCTCCTGGTGGCTCCGGGCACTGCGTCAAAGCCCTGCACACTTTCTCATGCCCTCTCCTCTCCCCACAGAGTTACGTCTCCCCAAACCTGTCCTCTCTGTCCTACCTGGGCCTGAGGTGGCTGCAGGGACTTACGTGACGTTCCGCTGCGCCATCGCGCACTCCGGTGCTGGCTGTTTCCTCTACCTGGAGGGCCAGGTTGAAGCCTTCAATTTGCCCCCAAAGGAACATGACTTCAACCTCTCCCATGTGCATAAAAGCAACGAGGGCCGCTACAGCTGCCAGTGTTTCACCAGGAATGTTTCATTCCAATGGTCTGCTGTCAGCAGGACCCTGGATTTGGTGGTGAGAGGTGAGACAATGCCCCAGCCACATCCTACTCTTCCTCCCTGGCACCGGCTAAATCCTGGGGGAACTAGAAAAGAGGATGTGGGGGAAGAAAGCACCTGTAGTAAGGGTCTAAGCAGGGGATTACAGCTTCCTTCAGATGTGTTTGAGCCTTGCCAGTGCCCTAGAGACCCTACAGATGACCTATAGACCCCATAGATACAGGGTTTCTAGGCTACCAGCTGGGGCCAAGGGGCAGGGGACACCTATGCCTTCACCTACCAGCCCCAGGGACAGTTGTCTCAGCACAGCCCAGTGGCACCGCCTGGCTGGCAGTGGCAGGTGAGGGCCAGCTGCATGTTCCTGTCCTCGTCCCCATCTTTGGTGCCGCTGGGCGGGGTGACAGGTCAGCAACTGTGGGTAGGGGATGTCCCAGGGGCAGGAATCTGGGAGGTAAGGAGAAGTCCTTGGGGCTCCCTTTAGCTCTCTATGAACTTCCCTTTATCCCTCCTTACCCCTGGAGCTCCCCAGCACGTCCCCTTGTCCACACGTGGCTGTTTGCCCTGGGACCCCCATATACACCCCTCCCATCCCTTTGGGTGCCCTTTGCCCCCACGGGACTCCTTTGGTCTGGGAGCTCCTGGGGCTCCTCCCAGGGGCCCGCAGTGACTGTCCCTTCCTGTCCCCTGCAGATTACA